GGTTCTGTCGAAAAACCCTCTGATCCGATCCAACCCAACCCGTGAACACCTCCTAATAATACTGCCACTTCTTAGTGGTTGAAGATAATGTTGTTGTTGTTCAAAGAGTTGAAAGTGGATTTCACTCCAAACCATGTGTTGATTATCGATGATTATATACACAATTGGTGTATACTCCTTGTTGATCAAGCCAGCAATTACATATAAGAGTTGAAAGATGGCATGTCCATAGGATATCCAACCAAATTTAGTAGAGGACAATTCGGGTGCATTATCCGAACGGAAACACTTAATAACTTTTCCAAATTATGTTTCAACTAGCTTAAAAAAACGAGGAACAATCACCAAAGCATCAGATTTCTGTTTCATTAAAAATGTCCACGTGTAGCAAGAAAAATCATCCACAATCGTCAAAAAGTACTTGCAACCAGCATGACTTAAGGAAGAGAAAGGACCCCAAACATCACAATGTATTAGATCGAAAGAATAGACTGAAATATTATTGTGAGACTCAAAGGAAAATCATTTCTGTTTGGCCAAAGGACACATTTCACAAGGAAAATCATAATCATGCTTAGGAATTGAATCAATATGTAAGACATTTTTTAAAGCAAAAAGATGCTTGGGTGAAGGATGACCAAGTCTATTGTGCCAAGTATGATAAGTAGAATTACAAACAACTGTAGTAGGAGCAGCAGACAGCTCAACAGAAAGGAGATAAAGACCATGCCAAGATTCAGCTTTGCCAATCATCTTCGAAAAGGACTTGTCCTGAAGAACACAACAATTATCAGCAAATAGAACAGAAATAGAGGAATCAGCTGTCAAGGCACTAACAGAAAGCAGATTGTATCTGAACAATGGTACAAACAGCACATTGGTGAGCAAGAAATCAGAATTTAATCGAATATCCCCAATAAAATCAACTGTAATACTAGACTGATTTGGTAGAGAGAGTCTAACACCAGAAGCCGATGTAAGTGTAGTAAACAATTATCGATTAAAACATATGTGAGCCGAGGCACCCGAATCAACAACCCAACGAGTGCGTAAAAAAGACGCTAATGAAGAATCAAAACAAATACCTGCAACATGAGATTGAACAGAATCTGCCGTGGGACCAGAATTAACCTTGGTCAAATGAGATTGAAGAAGGAATAATAGCCCTTGACACTGATCAACACTAAGAGACGTCAACGAATCAGGAAGATTCGAAGAGGTAGAAGAATCAATCGGCTTCGAGGAATCAGTAGCAGACTTATTTTGAGAAGAATTGTTGCGAGAGCCCGAAGTGCGGTATCCAGGGGGATACCCGTGCAACTTGTAACACCTATCAACAGTGTGGCCAGTGAGACCGCAATGTGTGCAAAAAGGCTTGTCTTTCTTCTTGGAATGTGAAGAAGAATTAGAAACCGACTTATAAAAACAAGAGGAGGAAGAATTCCGAGCCATGAGAGCAGTAGGCAAAGTTTGCGGAGATGTAGAAGTGAGGATGGCACGCTGTTGAGCCTATTGAGAAACCAAGGAGAAGGCTCGATTGATAGTTGGTTCAGGTTCCATAAGGAGTAATTGTGCCCGCAATTGACTGAAAGATTCATTCAGCCCCATAAGAAAACACATAACGTGTTTTTGTTGCTGAAAAGCAATAATCTCCTTCACACCACCACACGAACATCGACCACAAGTGCAAGAGGGGCGATAAGAGTTGAGTTCTGTCCATAGTGTTTTTAAACGAGTGAAATGAGCACTTACAGAAAGTTGATCTTGCACCAAATTGGATAGATCTCGGCATAATTGAAAGATGCGAGGGCGGTTCTGTTTCTGAAAACGCTCTTTCAAATCGAGCCAAATTTCACGGGCCGAATCAGAAAATAAAACGCTTGCAGAGATTTCTTTTGACAGAGAGTTCAAGATCCAAGAAATTACAACGTTGTTGCAGATGATCCAAGAGTGAAGAAGATCTCCAGTAGGCCGAACGATAGATCCGTCAACAAAACCAACTTTGTTCTTCATCGTGAGAGCAATCAACATCGATCTACTCCATGATGTATAATTCTCATATGTCAAAGGATCAGATACAAGAACAAGGCTTGTATTATCAGAGTGATGCAAGAAATAAGGGTTGGTATATTGCTCGATTGCAATCRGAGCGATAAYAGTAGRCGTGGATGCAGTCRGATTGATGAAATCGTCCGCCATTGATGTAAACGAAGCAGAAGGCGAGGAAAGGAAAAGGAAAAGGAACCGCCAATCGTGGAGGGGAAGTTACCAAAATACTCTCTGAAAAACCCACGTGTGCTCTGATACCATATTGAGGCTAGAGAGTAAATTAATCTTGCATAATATTATTAGAAGAAGAAGGCCATATATATAGTCCCAGAAAACGTTACAACTAAAATCTGTTATATCACCAACTAATCAGGCCCAACTAATACATCATTTACAAAGATAAAGAACTCTAATAGTATGGGCTTGTTTTTGTGGTCGAACTAAAATCAAACTGCAAAAATGATGAAGAAAATGCCAAAAGCATCACTATTGAAAATCGCGTCTACCTAATCTAGTTAACCACACGCCTACGCTAGATGTGCTGGAGCATGAGTTAAAGTTCGTTTGCGGCTCTGGCGCTTTTTTTTCTCTCTCTCTCTCTCCTCTCTCTACCTTATTCGTATTAAAATTTTTGAAGTAAAAATAAAACATCCAACATAAATGAAATCTAATCAAAATCAACCACAGCCCTTTGTTGATTTCTCTAAAACTATAAGGAGACACTAATCATAATATTTAACACTCAACACACCAATAAAAAACAATAAACCAATGATGACAATATAATATATTGCAAACAAAATAAAAAATCAAAGTCGTCTATCCGTAACAAATTGCAATAAGTCAAAAGACTCCAAGTCAACAATAAAACCTAAAAGTCACGACTCACCAATTATATATATAAAGTTTCAACCAACATTAAAATAGTTTAATAGTTAAGACATCTTGTTCTCTCCCAATAAGTCAGCTCCACATTTGTTGTACTAAAAAAAATGATGAAGTTTCAATCAAATCTATAAATATTAAGTCAAGTAAATAATAATTAAACTTGATGAAACATCATTCATTCCTTTCGACTTATTTATGAAGCTTGCTATAGCTTCTATTCAGTTTTTGAAACTTAAATAAATAAAAAAAGAAGTTATTGTTAATTTGTAGCCCTTAGAAATTGAATAAATGAGAAGAGGAGATGTGGTACTTTCAATATTTACAAATCTCTCCATCTCTACGATCACTCAATCATCATAAATTCTTTTTCAATCTCCACATATTTTTCAAATCTCCATAAATTTTCTTTGTTCTTTTACTTTATCATTTACCTTAATGTACACCATTCATCCTTATTGCCCTACATCTAATGATCAAAATTCACCTTCAAATTTTATTTAAAGCCACCAAATTTCACCATTCTTCACCCCAATTATCAAAGCAAAATCTTATTGTCTTCAAATTCTCCTCTCATTTTTTTGTGACTGATTGTGGCTTTTTAGCCATTACTTTGGTGCAAAATTTTGCTTAATCCAATTGTGTTATTTTGCATTCTTTATTTTCAAATCAGGTTTTTGTATTAAGGTGTGGGTACACCTGCGTAAAAAGAAAAGATGGTCGATAGGTTTGGTTCTTATCCGTAGGAGGGTTGTTGTAGTAAAATGCCTAAAGGAGTCTTGCGAAGAGGAGTAGGAATTTCCGAACCTTTATAAAAATTCTCGATGTTCCCCTATTCTCTTCCCTTCTCTTTCTTAAATTCAGCATTTTACTACTTTAAATTATTTTTCAGTTCAGGATTTGGAATCCGGATTTGACCCTAATTGCCTCAACTTTTCCCTACATCTCCTGGGTCCGTCTTTATCTTAACTCTTTAAGAAAAGCGAAGACTGTTCTTACAGATAAATAGATGTCATTTCACCATGTTTTGTCCTCGTTCACATGCTTTCTAATAAATCAACTCCTTCTCCCCCCCTCTCACTCGTGCTCTCGAATTCTATCTCTTACCATTCTCTCATCCGCGAGTGGGTTTCTTGTGAGGAATGATGGAAAAAGTTTGCAGATCAATATCTCGAAATCTGAGGGGAAAATCAAATCTGAGGTCGAGCAACGAAATAGAGAAGAAGAGGAATCATCGTGAAAGAGATTGGAAGACATGGAAATAAAAAACAATTGTAAAAATGGAGATAGAAAAAAATATATATGTCGATTTTTTTATTTTTCCTTTCTATTTTTTTTATGTGGGTGTTATTATTTATTTAAAGTTCAACCAAAAAATTTTAAAAAAAATTAAGAAGGAGGAGATAGTGAATTGGAAAGTTGCTTTCTTTCTTTCTCTTGTGGGAGTGTTTCTCTCTCTAAGTTGGAGAAGTTAAAAAAATATTTATTATTTAACATTTACATGTTAAATATTTTTATTATTTAACATCTAAATAATAATTTTTTTATGTGGGAGTGTTTCTCTCTAAGTTTTAACATCTAAATTATTGTGTCAAACTTAATCGAAATAGTTATTTAATAATTAAAATTTGAAAAAATTCGTTAAATATAATACTAATGGTTGTAGTTAACAAAATTAGTACAGCTTGTATTTCATAACTCGAAATTAAATAACTTTGCGCCCCAAATATAGATAAACAACTTCAATTTAATTAATTTTTTTGATTAAACAATTCCATATTTAATAACTCTATTCCTTTTTCAAATAACTCTTAAGAATATCACCATTTGTTTTCCTCAAAAGATTAAACGGAGGATATAGAAATCATCACTAAGAAAATGAAGAAAGATAGATATTTGGTTTGTTTGTTACGAATTTGGACGACTGAAAAACGAAAAAGAAAAAAAAATTATAAAGAAAAAAATTGAAAGGCATTTTTTTAGTTAAATTGAAAGCAATTTTAATGTTGATGTCAGTAGAAATGTGATTTCCCTTCTCACATCTATAGAAATATTAATGAAAATATGTTGATGTGAATAAGTATTTTACCAATTAAATGTGTTAAAAAACTATTTTGGTCCTTAAATTTTTAGCTTTGGTTCAATTTAATCTTTATACTTTTAAAACGTTTATTTTAGTCGATGTACTTTCAACTTTGATTTATTTGATTTATTTTAATACCTGTTTTTTCAAAATATTCGTTTTGATTTTTGTACTTTTAAAAAACGACTATTTTGATCTTTATTTCCAAAATTTTAACACAAATTCTACTTATAACTGAAATTCATTTATATAAGTCAAGGTTAGATTTCAAACAATATATTGAGTTTTGTTGAAATTGTGATATAAAAAATCATATTAAAAAAAATTAATTAACCAAAATGATCGCCTAAAAAAGTAGAAGACCAAAACGAACATTTTCAAAATATAAGAACAAAAATGTTCCAAAACTTGAAAATACAGGAACTGAAATGAACCTTTCGAAAGTAAGAAACCAAAATGAACAAAAATGTAGAGACCAAAATACTATTTAACCTAAAAATGTGTCTATATTAGTAATTTGATGTTGATATTTTTTCTCTATTTTGTGGACTTTTTAACCCTACTATGAGAATATCGATTCACTTTTTATGTCGATGTCAAAGATAGATATACAATGGAGTTCGATGCAAGTTAGGCCACGTTTACTATTGTAATGGAAATCAATCGGAATCATAATGTTATTCCATTGATATTGTTTACCATAAATTTTCTAGAATCGTAATCAGAATTTTTTTGATGTTGTTTACTAAAACTGTCTCGAAGCGGAATTGGAATCAGATATATAACGATTACCAATATACCACTTTCTCCATTTTAACTAATTACAAATATACAATGTGCTAATCTTTTTTAAATTACAATAATAATAAATTTTAATTTGATTTATTACTATATTGATAGTAAATATTTTTTATTAGCACAACCAAACTTTAATATAACAAAGTTTTATTTATATTCTAATATTTAAGAGTAATAATACCTATTTAAAAAATTATTGATATTAATTAATATTAATTTATCATATTATATAATAAAATCACATCAACTAATAAAAATTGAAGTATAAGCGAAAAAGAAATTATAAAAATATAAAAAAAATAATTAAAAATTATAAGAGAGAAAAGATAATAATAGTACATTAATAATAATATACATGGGGTATACGGAGTATGGAATGAGAATTGGATTAATGAAGTTATAAGAGTGTAATGAGATTATACTCATGATGAGAATTGGATTAATGAAGTTATAAGAGTGTAATGAGATTATACTCATGAGATTATAAAATTTAAGATAAGTCCTTCCTACAAATTTAATTTTGTAATCAGTAGAAAGGAGAATCAAAATTCTCATTACTATTAATTGGTAAGTAAACGGGGTCTTGATGGTTAACCATACGTGTTAACAGACACGCGCGGCAGATTATGAGAAAGCCTTATCCATCGTATTTCGGGTTGTGTTTAGAGAAAAAAGACGACGCTAAAATTCTGACGGTTACTCTATTTTTGAGACAAAATAAAAAAGAATTGCCATTATTTTCAAAAACATTTTTTAATAATGGAGACAATTGGACTGTGGAACGAACGACATCGCATGAAGAAAACAAAAAGAAAACAAACAAATTAAAATAAAAAAACTTTTTTCAAAATTAAGTCGTAATTATTTCCGGATCCAATGTTCTTCGCAAGCTCATCAACTCGTCAAAATTAGCTGGATTTTTTTTCTTCATCATCCAAGGAAGGAAAAGTCGGAAAGAAAGAGAAAAAAAGAAGAACACTTTCTGAAATCCCGAAAGGAATTCGCGGTCGCAGGTCCTTGATCCTTCTCTGTATTCATTTATTTATTTATTTTTTTCTGGATTTCGTTTATGATTTTGCAATTTTCTCTTTGTTACTTGCTTCCTTGCTCTTCGTTGATTGCGCCGGGTTAGGGTTGCAAGAACAAATTGAGAACGTTTTGGGCATGATTTTGATATTGACGCCAGTTTTTGTCATGCTTTATGAGATCTCCTGTAAATTGCTTTCACTTTCTTAGGAATTTTGATGATTCGCTCTCGATTACTTCTGGAACTTTATTTACTTTTTGTTAACTTTTTTTTTTGTGGGGGTTTGTTTCAGCGATTTCTCTGATGAATGTGGGTCTTTGCATGGACAATCGATTTTTGAGCTTCGCAAGGACTCGAAGGCATTGTTAAAATGTACAGGACAGTGGATACTTCTGCGGCCACGACTACAACAACAGAGAGTGTGGATTATGTTGTAAATTTGGATCAAATTCCACGCTGGAGTGATGCAGAACATAGGTCTTCATTGGAATTCGTAAACGAAGACCCCTCCTTTTCTAATTCGTACTTTCCTGATCCTCTGACTTCTCCAACTGATGGGGATGGTGGTAGTAATGGAGTGGTTTCAAGGTTTCCCGTTGATCATGAGATTAATTCCAAAATATACCTCTGGAGGGGGAATCCATGGAATCTTGAGGTAGATGCTGTTGTGAATTCGACGAACGAGGTGAGTGTTAATCTTCCTCTCTTCTTCTTTGTCATCCTGAAATAGAAAACCTTAATAAATAAAAAAGATGAAAGAAGCGGGGGTGAAGGAGAAGTCCATCTCCAAAATACCTGAGAACTTTACAGTTCAAGAAGAATAGTTGAGTTATTGGTAGGAGGAAGGTGCATTAGGGAGGACACATCTTGCTGGAGAAATAACAATATGGACAAGAAGATTGTTGGCTTCCCCCTTGTGCTCTTCTTGACTTCTAGGAGATGATAAAAAGAAGGAAGTATCTTTAAAGAAAGTAACATCAAGTGACCATGTTACAAAATTTAGATCAGGACAATAGTATTTATACCCTTTTGTTCTCGAGACAACCCAAGGAAATACATTTCAGTCTTGTGAGCTGACTGCAAACATCAAGTACAGCTAAATATTTTGGTTTAAGTAGAAAAAAAACTATAGAGGTTTGTAGGAACAAAGTATTTTATGGGATTACCATTCAACATTTGAGCTATTGAAGAAGTTTTAGGAATAGTGTAGAAATTTAAAGTATTAAAGTAACCCTTTCACAAACTCACCATGGTTAATCAAATTGACAATCCCATTCTCAATTTCATTATGAGAGAAACCAAAAATTGTAATGAAAATTAACAGAAAATACGATTGATATAAATAAGTCAATTAAAATGTGTGAAACACTTTGAGAGGCCTGGATTCTCCCACAAATTGTTTCAAGAGAACTGCTTACCTTTAACTCCCCCTGAAGTACTCTATTTGTAACCACCTTTCATTAACCAACCCTTTGTGTAATGTAATATGCCCTTGGTATCCTAGTAATATTTCTAATATTCGTCCTAACAATATTCCTAACATTTCTCCACCCTGTAACACATCTTGTCCTCAAAGTGTGGTTGATTTAAGGTACCCGCGAAGTAAAGGAACAAAATTGTTCAAAGATACAAACTCCCAAAGGAGTGTAAGAGAAAACAAGAAATAAAATATAGAACATATGACAAAACTACAAAGGAGATATAAAGGCCTCCCAATTCATACAAATCATACTAGGGGAATACGAAGGGAAAATATCAGAAAGAGCACACCATTGAAAAGCTTTGAATTTGGCAAAGTTGAAGCAATCTAATGATGGACGACTAGTATCTTCAAATATCCATTGATTCCTCTCGAACTATAATTCTGAGATGATCACCTTAAACCCATGGATCCAAAGTGGATTAACTTTAGGCACCAAACAAACACCATGGAGAAGCTGAAAAATATTACTAGCAAAGCCTCACAGTCCCAAACCCATGCTAATTTGAATATCTGAAGGAAAATATTCTATTAAGCAGCAGCATAAGAGCAGAAAA